ACTTCACAGTCATTACATGGAATTTGGTAGATTATATTATTTTGCTTAATTGGTTCTATCGGATCTTTTAGCCGACACAGCTTACCTCTAAGTGAGTTTGTTGGTTTAAATGCCACCCTAATTCCAACCTTGTTGAGAATCCTACGTATGGTTTCTGATGTTCCTTCCTTGTATGGTATCACAATAGAGGTGCTGATTTCCTTTCTACTTATGTTGTCACTATTATTTGTATTTGTATTAGTGTTATTATTTTGCTTCTTATGCGTCCGTGTGAATTTCTTAATAAAATGATGGGGATAATTATTAGTTATTAATGCTTCTTTTATGTGTTTCAATTCCTTATTTAAGTCCTTACAATGACTAGTGAGTTTCTCAGCTCTGTTATTTAGACATTTGACTAAACCCGCTTTAACTGACACTGGATGAGATGACTTGAAGTCTAGATACCTGTTAGAATGTGTTGGTTTTCTGTAGACGGTAGTATCTAAGCCACCATCTATCCTTCGTTTTATTCTGCAATCCAACATAGGTAATTCTCCTTGTTCATTTTCTACTTCGTAGGTGAATTGGATTGCGTTAACTACTGAGTTTATGTGTGTCAAGAAACTGTCGATATGTTCCGATTTCAACACTGTAAATGTGTCATCTACATATCGCCACCATATCTTAGGTGTCGGATGATATGTTCGTAGAGCCATATCTTCCCTACTATCCATAAATATATCTGCTACTATAGGGGATATTGGTGATCCCATTGCTACTCCTTCTGTTTGTCTGTATATCTTTCCCTGAAACTTGAAAACTGTCGAGGTTAAGCATAACTGCACTCCTAACATGATTTCACCAACCGATGCCTTGGTTCTTTGAGTAAGTTGTGAGTCAGTATCTAGTTGATTTCTGACTGCCTCCAGTGCCATATTGATTGGTATTTTAGTATAAAGACTTGTTACGTACAAACTAACCATTTTTTCATCCTCTTCTATGTGCAGGTCATTAAGTTTTTGTTTCAACTCGTAAGAATTTACTAGTCTAGAGTTGGAACGGTCTCTAACAGGACGTAATACTGATGCTAAATACTTTGATATCTCATATGTTGGTGTGTTTCGGAAGTCAACTATCGGCCTAATGGGATAACCTGCTTTATGAACCTTAATAGTACCGTAAATTCTGCTAGGATTATTAGTTTTTGGCATTAAAGTAAACCATTCGGACTTACCTAGAGATGGCTTCAGTCGGCGTATCAGATCTGTTGTAGATTTCCTAATTTTATTCATGACAGTATCTATAGGTTTCTTAATCTCTTCATATGGCCCTGTTTGGATATGTTCATCCATTTTTTTAAGATAATCCGATTTGTCCATAACTACTGTTGAGTTATCTTTGTCAGATTTAGCAATTACTATACTATTATCCTTTCGTAGATTGTTTAAAGCTGAATTTTCCAGTTTCGTTTAGTTTCGCTGTGTCTTCTTTTGTTTTTTAAGTGCTAATGCACACTGCGCTCTAACCTGTTCAGCAGTTGTCACATCCACCGAGCTCAATGCTACTTCTATGCTAGGTATGACATCTTCTGGTTTTAGATGATCTACTGTTATGTTGAAGTTTAGTCCTTTTTCAAGTACTTTCATCTCAGCTGAGCTTAAGGCTTTCGAGGAGAGATTGACTACCCACTTTGTTCTTTCGATGTTCGATGATGTTTCCTTTGTAATTTCATTGTTTTCCGAAGCATATTTTTCTTGCATTAGTTTACTGAACTTTTTGATTTGATTTCTTCTAGATTTCTTGAGAGTAGCTAATCTTGCTTTGTCTGATGTTTCTATTATAAATCCATAGTCTCTGCAGTTTACTATCTTCATAATTTTACATTTAAGCTGTTCAATTTTATTCCGAATGGTACTTAATTTCTTAATAATCCTGTGAATTTCTTCTTTCAGACATAGTTTGCTGACATGTTCTATTGCCCTTTGGATTTTGTCAGTATATATTGGGATGCGTATGCGAAGGTATTTAGGGATAATTTGATTTTTCATGCAACGAATATTGAAAATACGATGATTTGTGAAACGTGCTTCAGTTTGTGAAAGTCGTGTGAGTTTATTGATTAGCCTTCGAACAGGAAGACCATAAGTTTCATTAATATAAGTGAAAAACTTGGGCACTGGGGTAGAATGTAGTTCCATATTAGATTTGTTTATTTGATATAAAGCGCACAGTGATACAGTATTATTTACTTGATTACGTTTCGAGCATAAATTATTGCTCATAATCATATCAATGTAATCACACTTCTTTCGACATCTGATTTTATAGTCCTGTCACCTGATCTCTCTTTGTTTTTTGTTTTTTGATTGGTAGTAAAGTTTTCCATATCTCTGGTATAGGTGTTGCGTCATTCCTATTACATGTGTTGGGTGTGGATTCGATGAACAAAGATTCAGTAATTAATCTCTCTCTCCACCTAGCTATATTAGACTTAAGTACAGTGGTTTTGTCCCATCCTATTGTGTGGTTGTGTGTTAATGAATGTAATGCAATGGCTGAGTGTTTTTCTAGGTTATTGATCTTATTGGGGTCTGCCGTTCTATGTTTAGCTAAATTCCTATGTTCTGTTAATCTAACTGACCCCGACCGGCTAGTTTGACCTATGTATTTGACTTCACAGTCATTACATGGAATTTGGTAGATTATATTATTTTGCTTAATTGGTTCTATCGGATCTTTTAGCCGACAAAGCTTACCTCTAAGTGAGTTTGTTGGTTTAAATGCCACCCTAATTCCAACCTTGTTGAGAATCCTACGTATGGTTTCTGATGTTCCTTCCTTGTATGGTATCACAATAGAGGTGTTGATTTCCTTTCTACTTATGTTGTCACTATTATTTGTATTTGTATTAGTGTTATTATTTTGCTTCTTATGCGTCCGTGTGAATTTCTTAATAAAATGATGGGGATAATTATTAGTTATTAACGCTTCTTTTATGTGTTTCAATTCCTTATTTAAGTCCTTACAATGACTAGTGAGTTTCTCAGCTCTGTTATTTAGACATTTGACTAAACCCGCTTTAACTGACACTGGATGAGATGACTTGAAGTCTAGATACCTGTTAGAATGTGTTGGTTTTCTGTAGACGGTAGTATCTAAACCACCATCTATCCTTCGTTTTATTCTGCAATCCAACATAGGTAATTCTCCTTGTTCATTTTCTACTTCGTAGGTGAATTGGATTGCGTTAACTACTGAGTTTATGTGTGTCAAGAAACTGTCGATATGTTCCGATTTCAACACTGTAAATGTGTCATCTACATATCGCCACCATATCTTAGGTGTCGGATTATATGTTCGTAAAGCCATATCTTCCCAACTATCCATAAATATATCTGCTACTATAGGGGATATTGGTGATCCCATTGCTACTCCTTCTGTTTGTCTGTATATCTTTCCCTGAAACTTGAAGACTGTCGAGGTTAAGCATAACTGCACTCCTAACATGATTTCACCAACCGATGCCTTGGTTCTTTGAGTAAGTTGTGAGTCAGTATCTAGTTGATTTCTGACTGCCTCCAGTGCCATATTGATTGGTATTTTAGTATAAAGACTTGTTACGTCAAAACTAACCATTTTTTCATCCTCTTCTATGTGCAGGTCATTAAGTTTTTGTTTCAACTCGTAAGAATTTACTAGTCTAGAGTTGGAACGGTCTCTAACAGGACGTAATACTGATGCTAAATACTTTGATATCTCATATGTTGGTGTGTTTCGGAAGTCAACTATCGGCCTAATGGGATAACCTGCTTTATGAACCTTAATAGTGCCGTAAATTCTGCTAGGATTATTAGTTTTTGGCATTAAAGTAAACCATTCGGACTTACCTAGAGATGGCTTCAGTCGGCGTATCAGATCTGTTGTAGATTTCTTAATTTTATTCATGACAGTATCTATAGGTTTCTTAATCTCTTCATATGGCCCTGTTTGGATATGTTCATCCATTTTTTTAAGATAATCCGATTTGTCCATAACTACTGTTGAGTTACCTTTGTCAGATTTAGCAATTACTATACTATTATCCTTTCGTAGATTGTTTAAAGCTGAATTTTCCAGTTTCGTTAAGTTTCGCTGTGTCTTCTTTTGTTTTTTAAGTGCTAATGCACACTGCGCTCTAACCTGTTCAGCAGTTGTCACATCCACCGAGCTTAATGCTACTTCTATGCTAGGTATGACATCTTCTGGTTTTAGATGATCTACTGTTATGTTGAAGTTTAGTCCTTTTTCAAGTACTTTCATCTCAGCTGAGCTTAAGGCTTTCGAGGAGAGATTGACTACCCACTTTGTTCTATCGATGTTCGATGATGTTTCCTTTGTAATTTCATTGTTTTCCGAAGCATATTTTTCTTGCATTAGTTTATTGAACTTTTTGATTTGATTTCTTCTAGATTTCTTGAGAGTAGCTAATCTTGCTTTGTCTGATGTTTCTATTATAAATCCATAGTCTCTGCAGTTTACTATCTTCATAATTTTACATTTAAGTTGTTCAATTTTATTCCGAATGGTACTTAATTTCTTAATAATCCTGTGAATTTCTTCTTTCAGACATAGTTTGCTGACATGTTCTATTGCCCTTTGGATTTTGTCAGTATATATTGGGATTCGTATGCGAAGGTATTTAGGGATAATTTGATTTTTCATGCAACGAATATTGAAAATACGATGATTTGTGAAACGTGCTTCAGTTTGTGAAAGTCGTGTGAGTTTATTGATTAGCCTTCGAACAGGAAGACCATAAGTTTCATTAATATAAGTGAAAAACTTGGGCACTGTGGTAGAATGTAGTTCCATATTAGATTTGTTTATTTGATATAAAGCGCACAGTGATACAGTATTATTTACTTGATTACGTTTCGAGCATAAATTATTGCTCATAATCATATCAATGTAATCACACTTCTTTCGACATCTGATTTTATAGTCCTGTCACCTGATCTCTCTTTGTTTTTTTGTTTTTTGATTGGTAGTAAAGTTTTCCATATCTCTGGTATAGGTGTTGCGTCATTCCTATTACATGTGTTGGGTGTGAATTCGATGAACAAAGATTCAGTAATTAATCTCTCTCTCCACCTAGCTATATTAGACTTAAGTACAGTGGTTTTGTCCCATCCTATTGTGTGGTTGTGTGTTAATGAATGTAATGCAATGGCTGAGTGTTTTTCTAGGTTATTGATCTTATTGGGGTCTGTCGTTCTATGTTTAGCTAAATTCCTATGTTCTGTTAATCTAACTGACCCCGACCGGCTAGTTTGACCTATGTATTTGACTTCACAGTCATTACATGGAATTTGGTAGATTATATTATTTTGCTTAATTGGTTCTATCGGATCTTTTAGCCGACAAAGCTTACCTCTAAGTGAGTTTGTTGGTTTGAATGCCACCCTAATTCCAACCTTGTTGAGAATCCTACGTATGGTTTCTGATGTTCCTTCCTTGTATGGTATCACAATAGAGGTGCTGATCTCCTTTCTACTTATGTTGTCACTATTATTTGTATTTGTATTAGTGTTATTATTTTGCTTCTTATGCGTCCGTGTGAATTTCTTAATAAAATGATGGGGATAATTATTAGTTATTAACGCTTCTTTTATGTGTTTCAATTCCTTATTTAAGTCCTTACAATGACTAGTGAGTTTCTCAGCTCTGTTATTTAGACATTTGACTAAACCCGCTTTAACTGACACTGGATGAGATGACTTGAAGTCTAGATACCTGTTAGAATGTGTTGGTTTTCTGTAGACGGTAGTATCTAAACCACCATCTATCCTTCGTTTTATTCTGCAATCCAACATAGGTAATTCTCCTTGTTCATTTTCTACTTCGTAGGTGAATTGGATTGCGTTAACTACTGAGTTTATGTGTGTCAAGAAACTGTCGATATGTTCCGATTTCAACACTGTAAATGTGTCATCTACATATCGCCACCATATCTTAGGTGTCGGATTATATGTTCGTAAAGCCATATCTTCCCAACTATCCATAAATATATCTGCTACTATAGGGGATATTGGTGATCCCATTGCTACTCCTTCTGTTTGTCTGTATATCTTTCCCTGAAACTTGAAGACTGTCGAGGTTAAGCATAACTGCACTCCTAACATGATTTCACCAACCGATGCCTTGGTTCTTTGAGTAAGTTGTGAGTCAGTATCTAGTTGATTTCTGACTGCCTCCAGTGCCATATTGATTGGTATTTTAGTATAAAGACTTGTTACGTCAAAACTAACCATTTTTTCATCCTCTTCTATGTGCAGGTCATTAAGTTTTTGTTTCAACTCGTAAGAATTTACTAGTCTAGAGTTGGAACGGTCTCTAACAGGACGTAATACTGATGCTAAATACTTTGATATCTCATATGTTGGTGTGTTTCGGAAGTCAACTATCGGCCTAATGGGATAACCTGCTTTATGAACCTTAATAGTGCCGTAAATTCTGCTAGGATTATTAGTTTTTGGCATTAAAGTAAACCATTCGGACTTACCTAGAGATGGCTTCAGTCGGCGTATCAGATCTGTTGTAGATTTCTTAATTTTATTCATGACAGTATCTATAGGTTTCTTAATCTCTTCATATGGCCCTGTTTGGATATGTTCATCCATTTTTTTAAGATAATCCGATTTGTCCATAACTACTGTTGAGTTACCTTTGTCAGATTTAGCAATTACTATACTATTATCCTTTCGTAGATTGTTTAAAGCTGAATTTTCCAGTTTCGTTAAGTTTCGCTGTGTCTTCTTTTGTTTTTTAAGTGCTAATGCACACTGCGCTCTAACCTGTTCAGCAGTTGTCACATCCACCGAGCTTAATGCTACTTCTATGCTAGGTATGACATCTTCTGGTTTTAGATGATCTACTGTTATGTTGAAGTTTAGTCCTTTTTCAAGTACTTTCATCTCAGCTGAGCTTAAGGCTTTCGAGGAGAGATTGACTACCCACTTTGTTCTATCGATGTTCGATGATGTTTCCTTTGTAATTTCATTGTTTTCCGAAGCATATTTTTCTTGCATTAGTTTATTGAACTTTTTGATTTGATTTCTTCTAGATTTCTTGAGAGTAGCTAATCTTGCTTTGTCTGATGTTTCTATTATAAATCCATAGTCTCTGCAGTTTACTATCTTCATAATTTTACATTTAAGTTGTTCAATTTTATTCCGAATGGTACTTAATTTCTTAATAATCCTGTGAATTTCTTCTTTCAGACATAGTTTGCTGACATGTTCTATTGCCCTTTGGATTTTGTCAGTATATATTGGGATTCGTATGCGAAGGTATTTAGGGATAATTTGATTTTTCATGCAACGAATATTGAAAATACGATGATTTGTGAAACGTGCTTCAGTTTGTGAAAGTCGTGTGAGTTTATTGATTAGCCTTCGAACAGGAAGACCATAAGTTTCATTAATATAAGTGAAAAACTTGGGCACTGTGGTAGAATGTAGTTCCATATTAGATTTGTTTATTTGATATAAAGCGCACAGTGATACAGTATTATTTACTTGATTACGTTTCGAGCATAAATTATTGCTCATAATCATATCAATGTAATCACACTTCTTTCGACATCTGATTTTATAGTCCTGTCACCTGATCTCTCTTTGTTTTTTTGTTTTTTGATTGGTAGTAAAGTTTTCCATATCTCTGGTATAGGTGTTGCGTCATTCCTATTACATGTGTTGGGTGTGAATTCGATGAACAAAGATTCAGTAATTAATCTCTCTCTCCACCTAGCTATATTAGACTTAAGTACAGTGGTTTTGTCCCATCCTATTGTGTGGTTGTGTGTTAATGAATGTAATGCAATGGCTGAGTGTTTTTCTAGGTTATTGATCTTATTGGGGTCTGTCGTTCTATGTTTAGCTAAATTCCTATGTTCTGTTAATCTAACTGACCCCGACCGGCTAGTTTGACCTATGTATTTGACTTCACAGTCATTACATGGAATTTGGTAGATTATATTATTTTGCTTAATTGGTTCTATCGGATCTTTTAGCCGACAAAGCTTACCTCTAAGTGAGTTTGTTGGTTTGAATGCCACCCTAATTCCAACCTTGTTGAGAATCCTACGTATGGTTTCTGATGTTCCTTCCTTGTATGGTATCACAATAGAGGTGCTGATTTCCTTTCTACTTATGTTGTCACTATTATTTGTATTTGTATTAGTGTTATTATTTTGCTTCTTATGCGTCCGTGTGAATTTCTTAATAAAATGATGGGGATAATTATTAGTTATTAACGCTTCTTTTATGTGTTTCAATTCCTTATTTAAGTCCTTACAATGACTAGTGAGTTTCTCAGCTCTGTTATTTAGACATTTGACTAAACCCGCTTTAACTGACACTGGATGAGATGACTTGAAGTCTAGATACCTGTTAGAATGTGTTGGTTTTCTGTAGACGGTAGTATCTAAACCACCATCTATCCTTCGTTTTATTCTGCAATCCAACATAGGTAATTCTCCTTGTTCATTTTCTACTTCGTAGGTGAATTGGATTGCGTTAACTACTGAGTTTATGTGTGTCAAGAAACTGTCGATATGTTCCGATTTCAACACTGTAAATGTGTCATCTACATATCGCCACCATATCTTAGGTGTCGGATTATATGTTCGTAAAGCCATATCTTCCCAACTATCCATAAATATATCTGCTACTATAGGGGATATTGGTGATCCCATTGCTACTCCTTCTGTTTGTCTGTATATCTTTCCCTGAAACTTGAAGACTGTCGAGGTTAAGCATAACTGCACTCCTAACATGATTTCACCAACCGATGCCTTGGTTCTTTGAGTAAGTTGTGAGTCAGTATCTAGTTGATTTCTGACTGCCTCCAGTGCCATATTGATTGGTATTTTAGTATAAAGACTTGTTACGTCAAAACTAACCATTTTTTCATCCTCTTCTATGTGCAGGTCATTAAGTTTTTGTTTCAACTCGTAAGAATTTACTAGTCTAGAGTTGGAACGGTCTCTAACAGGACGTAATACTGATGCTAAATACTTTGATATCTCATATGTTGGTGTGTTTCGGAAGTCAACTATCGGCCTAATGGGATAACCTGCTTTATGAACCTTAATAGTACCGTAAATTCTGCTAGGATTATTAGTTTTTGGCATTAAAGTAAACCATTCGGACTTACCTAGAGATGGCTTCAGTCGGCGTATCAGATCTGTTGTAGATTTCTTAATTTTATTCATGACAGTATCTATAGGTTTCTTAATCTCTTCATATGGCCCTGTTTGGATATGTTCATCCATTTTTTTAAGATAATCCGATTTGTCCATAACTACTGTTGAGTTACCTTTGTCAGATTTAGCAATTACTATACTATTATCCTTTCGTAGATTGTTTAAAGCTGAATTTTCCAGTTTCGTTAAGTTTCGCTGTGTCTTCTTTTGTTTTTTAAGTGCTAATGCACACTGCGCTCTAACCTGTTCAGCAGTTGTCACATCCACCGAGCTTAATGCTACTTCTATGCTAGGTATGACATCTTCTGGTTTTAGATGATCTACTGTTATGTTGAAGTTTAGTCCTTTTTCAAGTACTTTCATCTCAGCTGAGCTTAAGGCTTTCGAGGAGAGATTGACTACCCACTTTGTTCTATCGATGTTCGATGATGTTTCCTTTGTAATTTCATTGTTTTCCGAAGCATATTTTTCTTGCATTAGTTTATTGAACTTTTTGATTTGATTTCTTCTAGATTTCTTGAGAGTAGCTAATCTTGCTTTGTCTGATGTTTCTATTATAAATCCATAGTCTCTGCAGTTTACTATCTTCATAATTTTACATTTAAGTTGTTCAATTTTATTCCGAATGGTACTTAATTTCTTAATAATCCTGTGAATTTCTTCTTTCAGACATAGTTTGCTGACATGTTCTATTGCCCTTTGGATTTTGTCAGTATATATTGGGATTCGTATGCGAAGGTATTTAGGGATAATTTGATTTTTCATGCAACGAATATTGAAAATACGATGATTTGTGAAACGTGCTTCAGTTTGTGAAAGTCGTGTGAGTTTATTGATTAGCCTTCGAACAGGAAGACCATAAGTTTCATTAATATAAGTGAAAAACTTGGGCACTGTGGTAGAATGTAGTTCCATATTAGATTTGTTTATTTGATATAAAGCGCACAGTGATACAGTATTATTTACTTGATTACGTTTCGAGCATAAATTATTGCTCATAATCATATCAATGTAATCACACTTCTTTCGACATCTGATTTTATAGTCCTGTCACCTGATCTCTCTTTGTTTTTTTGTTTTTTGATTGGTAGTAAAGTTTTCCATATCTCTGGTATAGGTGTTGCGTCATTCCTATTACATGTGTTGGGTGTGAATTCGATGAACAAAGATTCAGTAATTAATCTCTCTCTCCACCTAGCTATATTAGACTTAAGTACAGTGGTTTTGTCCCATCCTATTGTGTGGTTGTGTGTTAATGAATGTAATGCAATGGCTGAGTGTTTTTCTAGGTTATTGATCTTATTGGGGTCTGTCGTTCTATGTTTAGCTAAATTCCTATGTTCTGTTAATCTAACTGACCCCGACCGGCTAGTTTGACCTATGTATTTGACTTCACAGTCATTACATGGAATTTGGTAGATTATATTATTTTGCTTAATTGGTTCTATCGGATCTTTTAGCCGACAAAGCTTACCTCTAAGTGAGTTTGTTGGTTTGAATGCCACCCTAATTCCAACCTTGTTGAGAATCCTACGTATGGTTTCTGATGTTCCTTCCTTGTATGGTATCACAATAGAGGTGCTGATCTCCTTTCTACTTATGTTGTCACTATTATTTGTATTTGTATTAGTGTTATTATTTTGCTTCTTATGCGTCCGTGTGAATTTCTTAATAAAATGATGGGGATAATTATTAGTTATTAACGCTTCTTTTATGTGTTTCAATTCCTTATTTAAGTCCTTACAATGACTAGTGAGTTTCTCAGCTCTGTTATTTAGACATTTGACTAAACCCGCTTTAACTGACACTGGATGAGATGACTTGAAGTCTAGATACCTGTTAGAATGTGTTGGTTTTCTGTAGACGGTAGTATCTAAACCACCATCTATCCTTCGTTTTATTCTGCAATCCAACATAGGTAATTCTCCTTGTTCATTTTCTACTTCGTAGGTGAATTGGATTGCGTTAACTACTGAGTTTATGTGTGTCAAGAAACTGTCGATATGTTCCGATTTCAACACTGTAAATGTGTCATCTACATATCGCCACCATATCTTAGGTGTCGGATTATATGTTCGTAAAGCCATATCTTCCCAACTATCCATAAATATATCTGCTACTATAGGGGATATTGGTGATCCCATTGCTACTCCTTCTGTTTGTCTGTATATCTTTCCCTGAAACTTGAAGACTGTCGAGGTTAAGCATAACTGCACTCCTAACATGATTTCACCAACCGATGCCTTGGTTCTTTGAGTAAGTTGTGAGTCAGTATCTAGTTGATTTCTGACTGCCTCCAGTGCCATATTGATTGGTATTTTAGTATAAAGACTTGTTACGTCAAAACTAACCATTTTTTCATCCTCTTCTATGTGCAGGTCATTAAGTTTTTGTTTCAACTCGTAAGAATTTACTAGTCTAGAGTTGGAACGGTCTCTAACAGGACGTAATACTGATGCTAAATACTTTGATATCTCATATGTTGGTGTGTTTCGGAAGTCAACTATCGGCCTAATGGGATAACCTGCTTTATGAACCTTAATAGTGCCGTAAATTCTGCTAGGATTATTAGTTTTTGGCATTAAAGTAAACCATTCGGACTTACCTAGAGATGGCTTCAGTCGGCGTATCAGATCTGTTGTAGATTTCTTAATTTTATTCATGACAGTATCTATAGGTTTCTTAATCTCTTCATATGGCCCTGTTTGGATATGTTCATCCATTTTTTTAAGATAATCCGATTTGTCCATAACTACTGTTGAGTTACCTTTGTCAGATTTAGCAATTACTATACTATTATCCTTTCGTAGATTGTTTAAAGCTGAATTTTCCAGTTTCGTTAAGTTTCGCTGTGTCTTCTTTTGTTTTTTAAGTGCTAATGCACACTGCGCTCTAACCTGTTCAGCAGTTGTCACATCCACCGAGCTTAATGCTACTTCTATGCTAGGTATGACATCTTCTGGTTTTAGATGATCTACTGTTATGTTGAAGTTTAGTCCTTTTTCAAGTACTTTCATCTCAGCTGAGCTTAAGGCTTTCGAGGAGAGATTGACTACCCACTTTGTTCTATCGATGTTCGATGATGTTTCCTTTGTAATTTCATTGTTTTCCGAAGCATATTTTTCTTGCATTAGTTTATTGAACTTTTTGATTTGATTTCTTCTAGATTTCTTGAGAGTAGCTAATCTTGCTTTGTCTGATGTTTCTATTATAAATCCATAGTCTCTGCAGTTTACTATCTTCATAATTTTACATTTAAGTTGTTCAATTTTATTCCGAATGGTACTTAATTTCTTAATAATCCTGTGAATTTCTTCTTTCAGACATAGTTTGCTGACATGTTCTATTGCCCTTTGGATTTTGTCAGTATATATTGGGATTCGTATGCGAAGGTATTTAGGGATAATTTGATTTTTCATGCAACGAATATTGAAAATACGATGATTTGTGAAACGTGCTTCAGTTTGTGAAAGTCGTGTGAGTTTATTGATTAGCCTTCGAACAGGAAGACCATAAGTTTCATTAATATAAGTGAAAAACTTGGGCACTGTGGTAGAATGTAGTTCCATATTAGATTTGTTTATTTGATATAAAGCGCACAGTGATACAGTATTATTTACTTGATTACGTTTCGAGCATAAATTATTGCTCATAATCATATCAATGTAATCACACTTCTTTCGACATCTGATTTTATAGTCCTGTCACCTGATCTCTCTTTGTTTTTTTGTTTTTTGATTGGTAGTAAAGTTTTCCATATCTCTGGTATAGGTGTTGCGTCATTCCTATTACATGTGTTGGGTGTGAATTCGATGAACAAAGATTCAGTAATTAATCTCTCTCTCCACCTAGCTATATTAGACTTAAGTACAGTGGTTTTGTCCCATCCTATTGTGTGGTTGTGTGTTAATGAATGTAATGCAATGGCTGAGTGTTTTTCTAGGTTATTGATCTTATTGGGGTCTGTCGTTCTATGTTTAGCTAAATTCCTATGTTCTGTTAATCTAACTGACCCCGACCGGCTAGTTTGACCTATGTATTTGACTTCACAGTCATTACATGGAATTTGGTAGATTATATTATTTTGCTTAATTGGTTCTATCGGATCTTTTAGCCGACAAAGCTTACCTCTAAGTGAGTTTGTTGGTTTGAATGCCACCCTAATTCCAACCTTGTTGAGAATCCTACGTATGGTTTCTGATGTTCCTTCCTTGTATGGTATCACAATAGAGGTGCTGATCTCCTTTCTACTTATGTTGTCACTATTATTTGTATTTGTATTAGTGTTATTATTTTGCTTCTTATGCGTCCGTGTGAATTTCTTAATAAAATGATGGGGATAATTATTAGTTATTAACGCTTCTTTTATGTGTTTCAATTCCTTATTTAAGTCCTTACAATGACTAGTGAGTTTCTCAGCTCTGTTATTTAGACATTTGACTAAACCCGCTTTAACTGACACTGGATGAGATGACTTGAAGTCTAGATACCTGTTAGAATGTGTTGGTTTTCTGTAGACGGTAGTATCTAAACCACCATCTATCCTTCGTTTTATTCTGCAATCCAACATAGGTAATTCTCCTTGTTCATTTTCTACTTCGTAGGTGAATTGGATTGCGTTAACTACTGAGTTTATGTGTGTCAAGAAACTGTCGATATGTTCCGATTTCAACACTGTAAATGTGTCATCTACATATCGCCACCATATCTTAGGTGTCGGATTATATGTTCGTAAAGCCATATCTTCCCAACTATCCATAAATATATCTGCTACTATAGGGGATATTGGTGATCCCATTGCTACTCCTTCTGTTTGTCTGTATATCTTTCCCTGAAACTTGAAGACTGTCGAGGTTAAGCATAACTGCACTCCTAACATGATTTCACCAACCGATGCCTTGGTTCTTTGAGTAAGTTGTGAGTCAGTATCTAGTTGATTTCTGACTGCCTCCAGTGCCATATTGATTGGTATTTTAGTATAAAGACTTGTTACGTCAAAACTAACCATTTTTTCATCCTCTTCTATGTGCAGGTCATTAAGTTTTTGTTTCAACTCGTAAGAATTTACTAGTCTAGAGTTGGAACGGTCTCTAACAGGACGTAATACTGATGCTAAATACTTTGATATCTCATATGTTGGTGTGTTTCGGAAGTCAACTATCGGCCTAATGGGATAACCTGCTTTATGAACCTTAATAGTGCCGTAAATTCTGCTAGGATTATTAGTTTTTGGCATTAAAGTAAACCATTCGGACTTACCTAGAGATGGCTTCAGTCGGCGTATCAGATCTGTTGTAGATTTCTTAATTTTATTCATGACAGTATCTATAGGTTTCTTAATCTCTTCATATGGCCCTGTTTGGATATGTTCATCCATTTTTTTAAGATAATCCGATTTGTCCATAACTACTGTTGAGTTACCTTTGTCAGATTTAGCAATTACTATACTATTATCCTTTCGTAGATTGTTTAAAGCTGAATTTTCCAGTTTCGTTAAGTTTCGCTGTGTCTTCTTTTGTTTTTTAAGTGCTAATGCACACTGCGCTCTAACCTGTTCAGCAGTTGTCACATCCACCGAGCTTAATGCTACTTCTATGCTAGGTATGACATCTTCTGGTTTTAGATGATCTACTGTTATGTTGAAGTTTAGTCCTTTTTCAAGTACTTTCATCTCAGCTGAGCTTAAGGCTTTCGAGGAGAGATTGACTACCCACTTTGTTCTATCGATGTTCGATGATGTTTCCTTTGTAATTTCATTGTTTTCCGAAGCATATTTTTCTTGCATTAGTTTATTGAACTTTTTGATTTGATTTCTTCTAGATTTCTTGAGAGTAGCTAATCTTGCTTTGTCTGATGTTTCTATTATAAATCCATAGTCTCTGCAGTTTACTATCTTCATAATTTTACATTTAAGTTGTTCAATTTTATTCCGAATGGTACTTAATTTCTTAATAATCCTGTGAATTTCTTCTTTCAGACATAGTTTGCTGACATGTTCTATTGCCCTTTGGATTTTGTCAGTATATATTGGGATTCGTATGCGAAGGTATTTAGGGATAATTTGATTTTTCATGCAACGAATATTGAAAATACGATGATTTGTGAAACGTGCTTCAGTTTGTGAAAGTCGTGTGAGTTTATTGATTAGCCTTCGAACAGGAAGACCATAAGTTTCATTAATATAAGTGAAAAACTTGGGCACTGTGGTAGAATGTAGTTCCATATTAGATTTGTTTATTTGATATAAAGCGCACAGTGATACAGTATTATTTACTTGATTTACTTGATTACTGAATCTTTGTTCATCGAATTCACACCCAACACATGTAATAGGAATGACGCAACACCTATACCAGAGATATGGAAAACTTTACTACCAATCAAAAAACAAAAAAACAAAGAGAGATCAGGTGACAGGACTATAAAATCAGATGTCGAAAGAAGTGTGATTACATTGATATGATTATGAGCAATAATTTATGCTCGAAACGTAATCAAGTAAATAATACTGTATCACTGTGCGCTTTATATCAAATAAACAAATCTAATATGGAACTACATTCTACCACAGTGCCCAAGTTTTTCACTTATATTAAT